ACATATTTTTAATAAATCTGATTTAATGCCCCTAGGTGCATCAACTTACAAAATTTGATGATTCTAAACCTCTTATTTTCTGAAATAATGATCTTTAATGCTTAGAGAATGATTAGCCATAAAATTCAGAAAGTAGGTCATGGTGACCTACTTTTTGGTTGACACATTTCAAGGTCCCATGATGCATAAACTGACAACTTTTGATGATCACAGGCTTCAAAGTATCCAAGTTATGCATCAAAATGAAAATGAAAATGAATACCTGCAAAATTCAAAAAGTAGGTCACCATGACCTACTTTTGAGTCAACATGATATGAGGTCCGAAGATGCATCAACTGACAAGATTTGATGATCCTAGGTCTCATAGTGGGCAAAATATCAAAGATTAAACAAAACATAAATTTTGGCCAACTTTGAAGTGACCTTGAGACCACACCTTTTGCCCCAGGGTGATGCCTTGAACAATTTTTAATCTACAACATATCCTCATCCTTGTAAGTAAGTTTGGTGATAATCTGCCCAATGGTTCTTGAGAAGAAGATTTTTTAGCAACCAGTACTTTTTTTTATTTTCCTAATTATATCCCCTTGTTTAAAGGTCCCATCCCTGTTTTTAGTATAAATGAAAGCCCTTGGGCCAAGGATACTCTGTGACAAATTTGACAAAAATTGGTCAAGGGGTTCTTGAGTTATAGCCAATTTTCCAAAGAGTTGACGCACACCACACAAACGGCCATAGCATTAGCTCTATGAGCCCTCAGCTCAGAAGACCTAAAAATGTAACAATATAGGGCAGGGAATGATTCAAACATTGGGTATATTTTTGGTGCTTTTGAGACTTGCATGTAAGCATATTTTCATGAAGTGCTAGCATGCTTCATGAAATATGCCTACATGATAAGTCTGTGTGATTTACACCAATAACTCACACAAAACTTAAAAACATTCCTTAATTGAAAAACATCTTCATCTTTTGGCCATTTTTGAAGAAAAATTCAGGATATGGGAAAAATGACACAATTTGTAACTTCTTGAATGCATTGATTAGCGAGAAAATTATGTCATTCTCAATAGATATGCAGTCATCAAGGGTCCAACTGATATTTAATGCATAACTAAGCAGTTTTTATTTTTCAGAAATCCACAGGCCAAAAATGGCTGTGAGTGAACCTTAAATTGCCCTTTAAATCTAAACCAAGTTATCAGATCAACCTCCATTTACCCGCCATGTTATCATACACCGGAAGTAAGAATTCGTAAATTCAAAATCTCGATCCCAACACAAATTCGACATCGGAAAGAAAAAATTCCATTTTTCTCAATTTTTTCCTGAAAATTTAAAAAAATTGAGCGGCGGGTTTGTAAACCTAAAAATAAAAAAATGCTGGCCTAATTTATAACTAAATCTTTTCAGGTTATATGCGATACCTTGCAGTGCACAAGGATATGTTAAGATAATGGACACTCCCTTACTATTGACTTTTACAGACGAGCATCTGGAAACAGGTGAAAATTAGAAGTTTACTTGCTTGTATTTGCCAGTGCTAATGCAATCCCTATTGTAACTATCACCATGCAAACTTAAGAAAACAATAGTGCTGGAGCACATATCCAGGCCTTTCAAAATGTGCTGGTACCTTGTACTTTTACCCAGCTGAAATCATGATTGTACTGGCCAAAATATTCCTCGGAAAACAATGTAATGAAAATCACTTCCACAAGGTACCTCCTATTTTTGTAAAAGTATCACGTTTCTTATCTTTTTGAAAGTCCTGCATATAGTAATTCTACTCCCTCCCATTGGCCACTCTAGGTCTTTGAAGAACATTTATTGTATAAAGATAAATTATTTTTGTCTCATTTTTATTTATCTATTTCTTACAAGTCTACATGACCATTAAAAATTAACATAAATATGATTTATGTCTCTACTTTAACACATTTGATCAACCATCATCACCACAAGGCCATCTCTGCTGTAACCTTCACCTGCGCACCCCAATCTCAAATGTTAAAAATCTGTATCACGCCTGATTTTTTCAAACAGTCAATTGGACCAATGTTTTCTTGTAAGTTATTGTTCCAGACAAATTTTTACCAGCTTTGCAGCTTTTCAAAAACTCTGAATACCCAGCAGCAGAAAAGACTTTCACAGAATTTACGCAAATTTTACAATACTTATGTATGATCAACAGAGCTCTGCTCTAACACCAGAGCCCCTGACTAGGGGCGGTGAAATTCAAAATTTTGGAAGAGGCATCCTTGCTCATCTTAATCGTACACTAACTTTGTTTGCTTAATACCTAGGGGCAGAGGAAAAGATTTTCAAAGAAATAATGCACTTTTATTATATAATCAAGAGAGACCCGGCCGCTTTAACAACATAACCCCTGGCCAAACTAGTAATGGTCTGCGTGACCGATCATTTTCTTCCTCAACAATCCAATGTTTTTTTTTTTAAAGAGTTTTCTTTGTACCTGAAGTTTTTGTCTTTTCGCTGTAATCTTAAAAAGCCTTTAGCAAGTTACTTTCTGACAATGTAGCAAAATAAATAGGGGTTGATGATTCTAATCTACATTACTACGTATAATCTAGAGAGTTCTGAATGTCAACATGGCAGGGCTCGACATTAACTTTTTTCCCTACTTGTTTATTCGGACAAGTGACCAAGACATTTACTTGTCCGAACTTCAACTTTAATTGTCCGAAAATTTTTCAATAAAGATCTAATACTGTCAACTTGAAAACCAGTGTTTGAAACTCACTGTAAAATTAGACAGACATGCTGGGCTGACTGCTAGTAAATGTTGTCAGCCCTGCCAAAGATCTACTTGCCTGAGAAAAAAATTGTCTTTTATAAATTTGTTTTTTAACGATAATGTGACTGGAACCAGGTCACCATAACTTCAAACCAGAATCTATAGACTGATGAATTCTTCCTATTGGCTGGTTACACTTTGCTACCGATACTATTACTTGATATGAAAAAGATTTATCAAATATATGAATTTTAATTATCGAAAATTTTAACATGTCCATCCGGGCGTCAGTACATGCAAATTTGTTCGCCCACTGCAAAATTTGTGCGTCTCGGGCGGTCAGGTGCACGGTTATTCCAAACACTGTTGAAAACTAAAATAAAGTCCATTACACGATATGTGCTTGATTTATTCGTGATGTTATTGATAAATACAACAAACACATAAAACAAAATTTTATCTATCAACACGTTAACCTGTCAACATCAAACAGAATCCAAACTTTGTTAAGTTCGTAAGTTCCATGCCTTTTCAGTAGTATGCAATTAGTGAACTTCGATCCCGATCAAATGTGAATCGAAGTCCGATTTTTATGTAGGGCTTCCGTCTTGAAACTACCTATTAACTTTCAACAGTCATTCTTTTTATTATTTAGAGACTTCTTTACATTAAAATGCACTTGTCCAATCGGACAAGTACCCAGCAATATTCACTTGTCCGTAATTTTTTTTCACTGGTACCGGACATGCGGACAAGCATTAATGTCGAGCCCTGCATGGCATGTCAATTCAAAGCGAGAAAAAACGTTGAGAATCGTGTTGAAGTTTTGTCTTTATTTGGGTTATATTTTAGGGTAAAAGACATATACAAGTTCAAAAAGGTTTGGTATGATTAATTTAGTAGTTATTCCCAGTGCAACTTCTTTTGTATCTTTCAAAATCGTTTTGGACCGGATTCGCTCCAATTTGCTACATTGCCACTATCGATATAAGGTACGTATTCAGTGTTGAGGCCTGAGGGTTTGTCCCGAGACACATGTGGTTAGTTTATTCTAAATGTACACTGACCTATAGCAATGCCTCACAATTGGTGTTGTAACAACCCGCAGAATCATTTCCACCCTCAATCTGAATATTTTCAAGGTCTAGTTAGGTTGGCATCGATGTTCTGCAGCAATTTGAGTATACTTTCAGATGAAATGGACCAGTCCCAACCAATGCCATATTCATTTGAATTACATCATGAATTAGACTAGAATTTATTTGGACTGATAGAATTTTCTTCGAACTGGTAGAATATATTGATTCATCAGTCCAAATGACTGCAGATAGAAATATTTGGTTTTCAGAAATTCTGTTTAAATGAATGCATTGAAAATGAAAGTGGGAAAGATGTATGCATAATATATTTCCAACATAACAAACATTGCAAGACTTGCCTACTATGGAAATTTGAATGCACATTTTGGTACTGTGAATGGTTGATATAATACACCATTTTTCTCTCAATTCGACTATGGTGCAAGCCCTTCCCAGTCACCAATTCAAACTAGGTTAAGAATTAGAAAAGACTCAAATTAATATATTTCAGTGCCCATACTGGCTCCAATTGTCCATATTCCAAAAGTTGTTTAAATATATTACTCCCTTCACATGACATAGAGCAGAGCAGAACTAGTAACTTACGGCATACCAAAAACTAATCTCATGTAGACCAAGTAAGCTCAACTCAGCCAACTACACTCCGAAAAGATTCACACCGTACATCAGTGCTAATAAATAATTTAGTTGTCATGATTATATATGAATGACATGTTATCTATACCCTTTCAATCTGAATATTTTAACTGTTTTGGTCAGTACACAAACTTACTCATAAATTTATGAAAATCACAAATACTGATTTATAGTTAAACAATCTTCAAAATAATATAATTTTTCAACAACCTCGAATTAATTTTTCTAAATAAAGTTACTTCATTGAAAAAGTGCAATATTAAACCATGCATAAATGTGAATTTTGATCAGAAACTTTCAACGTGGCACATGGAGGCTACCATTTTGCAACTCTGCAACAAATATTCACTGCAAACGACACCATTTTATTTAAAAAAAAAAGATATTGAACTTCCTTATATTTTAAGAATTATTGAGGTAATAAAAGACATTCTTTAGAAAAATTTTTAAACTGCTTTATTTTTTTTTTTTAATTCAAAGATTTCTGCTGAATCTTCATTCCGGTTCTGCAAAATGGCGGCTTCCTGTTTTGGACAAATGTTTTCATTTTACAAAATCTTTTTACAACAGGCAAGAAACTGTTCAACTCGCCAAGTATGTATATAACATTATACCAAAATAGAAAAATATATAGCGTTATTAGGATATAAGATTGAAATTTTTCATAGTATTTAACATTTTTCCCCATTGATACAAACAACTAAAGAAATCTCGAATTTCCTCAAGATTTTGTAAAATTATATATTTGTAGAGGACTGGTTTACCACCATATGTGAAAATTGTTGAAGTTGGACCAAGAGATGGACTTCAGAATGAAGTGGTTTGTAATAATGTTGCTATATGTTTATTAAACGGCAGGATAACACAAGAGACATGATAGTTATAATCCGAGATTAGTTAGAGAGAGAGAAAAAAATTATACATGTAGAGATTAAATCTCGAACATTATCAGGTTTTTGCTAAAATGCGTGCCATTGTAAAGATTGATAATGATCCCCATTGAATAAAGATCGGGGTCAATTTTTGACGTCAACCCCCCACCCTAATCTCAGCGAGATTCGTCGAGACTAAAAATTTTGGACAGATGTCTCTTCCGAATCTCAGACCAGTGCCACACAAAGTGACTCGGGAAATCTTGCCCGGACTTCGACCGCTTGTTTCGATCAATACTGGCTGAAATGAATTACCTGCCCGCTTCAACTTTTCATTTTGGACATCCTTTTAACTCCCTATCACTAGAAAACTTTCGTTTCTTACCTTTAAAAGGTTTAAATCCAACCAAAATCAAGTTTTTGATTTTTTCATACCACTGATATATTCATTTAAACCTCTGACACTGAAGAGTTCCAGCAATAGTCTGCTCCAAATACTTCATTCTACTATGATTACCTATAGAAATAGTACAACGTATTTGAAGCAGCTAGAGTATTGCTGGATCTCTTTGGTGTTGGAGGTTTAAATGAATATATCAGTGGTATGAAAAAATCAACAACTTGATTTTGGTTGGATTTAAATCTATTAAAGGTAAGAAACAAAAGTTTTATAGTGATAGGGAGTTAAAAGGAAGTCAAAAGCTAAAACACTGTGTATATCCCAACATGGGGGGTGTATACTATGTTTTGCACAGGGTGTATGCTTTCAAAGCGATAGAAAGGGGGTCAAGGTATGTTTTTTGTCCAATTTCTCAATTAGATGGGTAACTCTAGGCAAAATATATCCATATATTTTGCCTAGAGTTACCCATCTAATATATATTACTTAATATATGAGTAATTTTTAGAAATGGGTTACAACATATCCATCACTTTTGGTCATTCAACTGGCAACAAATTTTCATAAATATTATTAATTCTGTCAAACATTATGTTAGGTGATGGGCCAAACATGAAAAAGAAGATCTTGACACTTGACTCAGAATTGTTTAAAAGTATTAGGTGGTTTTTAAAGTCTTGTGTTAAATGACTGAGAGGCAATATGAATACCATCTTTCTTGTTGTCTTCAGTCAGGCCAAAGAAAAAAAGGTGTTTTCGCTTTCCTGACCTACCCTAACCTGGACCACCAACCCTAATCTTTTTTTCTATTTTTTAACTGGTTCATCAATATAAATTTCGCATTTACAGACCATTTTCTCTTTCTGCATCACCCAAATGTTTTAAAGTAATGCGTAAAATTAAGCACTGTTTCAAGCAATGGACTGACACCGTTTAATACAAAATGTCATTATGCTGAGTCAGGCGTGTGGTTGCATCAGTTGCTTCTCATCAGCCAGGGAGGAGAAGCATTTGATCGTTTAGCTGGTAAGTCTTATCCATTCCTTGGGGCTGACACAACAACTTGAGCAAGTTGCAAAGTTTAAACATTTTGCTTGCAGTGTAAAAATTTGATGTGGAGGGCTTGATGACTTATGGGAGATTTGCTTTTCATATCTGAAATGCCATTATGACTCATTGATTAAGTCTGATGACAAGTTGCTCGAATTTCTGTTTTGTATCTCTTTGTAAGATACAACAAATTAATCATAATTATCATTAACTAGGTTGGATCCTGATATTAAAAGTCTTAAACTTTTTTTGTCAAGTATATTTTTAGTTTCTACACACATAACTGAATTAAAAATCAAAACAAAAAAAATGGGGGTCAATATGCTTCTTTTGGCACTACAGTACATTTAATATAACCTTTTTGCACTGAAATTTGTGTCTTAATAAAAAAATCACATCTTCGACATTTTCCCTCCAAAGTTTTTATCCAAATAAATCATGGGACAAAATAAACTATTTAATAGTCTATTTAAAAAAAGACACATTAAAATGGTGACTAAGAGAAAGTTTCAAATAGGCTTCGCATAATCAATTATTTGACCTTTCTGCACTCAAAATGTGATTTTTCTGGCATTAAAAATTTAACAAGCAAGAAAATTATTTTAAAGTCTTAAACTTTTGCTGAAATTAAGCAGATTGATCAAAGTTATCTTATATATTCAGAAAAGAAAAACAAAAGTGGGGGTCTAGATCTAAATTTTTAGATATTACTAAAAAAGTGTTTATTTTATGTTAAAATTGGCTCAGTTTTTTCCTGGACTTCAGAATATATTTACTATATTTGTCACAATATAATGAAAGAATTCATAAGAAATAATTTAATGGATATTTCAGAACCAGCATAAAACATTTCACTGCAAAAAACAGCTCTGTTTGCAACCAGCATGGAAAAATAGGAATCTAAACTTAAAAGTACTGTATATATTTCAAAAGGGAAGAATTGATCATTTTCTTCTTAAAAAAAACCTTCCGCCACAAAATATAGTTCCTGGCTTAATCCTACTTGAATGGAATTTAATCAAGGTTTTTTCATTGGATAAAGTTTAATTTGCATTGTAGAATCCAGATTTAATGTTAGAATTTAAAAATGATGCAGAATTTTAGAAATAAAGGTCCAGACCAAAATCTGCTCAAAAGCTCAGGATCGAGCCTCCTTAACTTGTGATTTCTAAACTGCTTTCAAAATGTCTATGTAAATAAAGCACATGAAATTTTGTGATATTGCCAATGCTAGTGATTTCCAATAGGGTTATATAGTAAATAACATCCTCTGGTATCGTGAAATGCCTGGTACATGTAAGGTACCTTACTTTTTTTGTAAGGAAACCTGTTAAAATAGCAATACTTCAATTACAAATTCTTGGGAAAAATTATCTATTGTCAGTCAGGGGCATCATGGAAACAAGTTATTTTTGAAATAATTTGTTTAAGTTATTAAATGTCATTATTTTGGGTTATCTTTCCCTGATTTTGTTTTTCTTCAGTAACTTTTTGAGGTTATTAATACTTTACTATTTATTATTGTAAACTTACTGGTATCTGAAAAGCTTTATTCTTGCTGTACTTGCAATATTAAGTAAACAGAAAAGGTTCAAGGCAGTAAAAGAAATCTATCTTTAAAATTTTACAAGTTGAAATTCAACAAATCATAACTTATTTCAGTTATTTCTTCCTTAACCCACCTCACTTTAGAACTCTAGCTTGCACAAAAATCTACAGCTTTGCAAAAAAAAATGTAAGATACAGAGATTGTACAGTAATATCCAAGGATTTTAGGAAAATTATTCTCAGTGTTGGCAAAATTGGCGGAAGTTGTGCAATTGACCACTGAAATGTTTATGAAATGGAATTACTTTTCTCTGATATTTTAATAAATAACATCCTATCTGCTCAGAAGATATCAAATCTGTCAAGTCTATCAAGAGAAGTACATGTATACATGTACAACTTTCTCAACCTTATGCATCATCTTAAATCAGCAGCAAACTCAAAATATTGATGTTTTTTGATAGGAATTCTAGTTTTTTAGAATTAACTCAAATGATCGATAGTCATTTCTTTGTTTAGTCATAAATAAGTGAAGTAACCTAAACAAGTTATTTTAAAAAATAACTCAATTCCATCACACCCCTGACTGATTATTGAGGAACATATGTCATCTGACCTTAAGTACTTGCAATATTGCAGAGGCCACTAACAGAGCAAAAAAGACAGCTGTTAATGCCTTTCAGATTTTAGTGGCCAAAGGGAAGGTTTATCTAGATAAAAAGCAACGTTCCAGCTAGGGGGAAAAGGAGGGGCACCATGCCCCACCCTCATTTTAATTCAGTGTGCCTCTCTGCCCTGCACAGGTGCTCCTGTGTCCCTGTTAGGGCCCTGTATCACTCTGACTGTCCTTCTTTTCCCTCAGAATAATTAGTGTGATCCAAAGCAGATTACAGAAGGACAAGCACACCTCCTGTACATCAGGATTACACAACATTCGATTACACAACATTCGCATTACTGGGACCTATATACTGTACAGGTGCCTGCTTCCAATTATAGGTGATTAGGCACTTGATAGTCTGAATAGCGCTTAAGAGCTGAAATACTTCTGAGATTTCCAAGCTATCTGTTTTAATATATAATAGATGAGTCTTGTCTTTAAGCGTTCTAAAAATAAATCAGGAAGTGAAAGTAGCATTAACATTGACCCTCAGTTCTACTCATAAATTTTTGAAGTTTTCTAAAAAGTAAAGGAATTTAATACCACAGAAACAAGTATGAATTTTTAATTATTTTCTCCTTAATTATGATATTTGACACTTTTGAAGGTATTTTAAAAGATCACAAATAATATGTAACGTACTGCATGTGTCCCATTTAATTGACAAAAGTTTTTAAAACTTTATTTAATTAATTTATTATCTGCTACCAACATGATAAAACAAGCAAGAAAGATATTGGCTTTAAACTGAAAGTTTAATACAAGTATGTCACCTATGAACTACAAATACTGTATCGATCTATATAAATATGTATACTGCAATAATGTGAGACACCAGCTAGTTTATATGAATTATGGCACTATTATTGAAAACAGGAATAGAAAATGATTGAAAAGGAGAAGGAATAGTAAAATTTATCCTATGATTTTTATGCTCTGCCATGAATATGGCTGGGGCATATAGAGTTTGTCATGTTCATCTTCTGTCCTTTCCTCTGTCCTTCCGTCTCGTTTTGTGTTTAGCTCAGTTTAAAGCAAATTGTCCAAAAAATTATTCAAGATGTTTTTGTCAAACTTCATATGCTGATGTATATTGATGAAAGCTATTCAACTGCATCAACATTTTTTTACTTTGACCTTTCCTTTGACCTTGACCTCTTCTTAAATAGTGTTTAGCTCAGTTTCAAAGAAACCATTCAAAATAGTGTAATCGAACTTCATATGCTGAAACAAACTGAAGTTAGCTATTTAACTTATCAACATTTTTGACCTTTAGCTTTCCTTAGACCTCACTTTTCTCAATTTGTGTTAAGCTCAGCTTTAAAGAAACAATTCACAATATTTTTATCAAACTTCAGAAGCTAATACATACTGATGTAAGCTTTTCAACTGCATCAACATTTTTAACCTTGACCTTTCCTTTGACCTTGACTTCATTTTTTCTTAGAATAATTTTTAACTCGGTTTTAAATAGACCATTCAAACCATTTAAGATATTTTTATGTAAGCTTTATTTGGTGAGAATTTATCATCTATATCCAACTTTTTAGATTTCAATTTCAATTTTAAAGAAACTACAAGTTTACATACTAACTATAGATAGTGTTTGTTTATATATCTTTAAAATTAAAAAGGTTAAATAAATTAATAAAATTTGAAGGAGTTAGTTATTATAAGGGTGAAGTAATGAGATACCCCTATGTATCAAAAGTTTGCGGCAAACGATAAGTTGTGAAAAAGTGCCTTTCTCTTGCACCTCTCCATTTTCAGATCCTAGCTGGAACACTGAAAAGATAACAAGGTTTATTACATTTTTAACAGTGAAATACTGCGATTTATTTTTTTAATAAAAGTGATATTCTCTCACAGTGGAAAAGGATACCAAAGTGATATTCTGTCACATTCTGAAAGGATATCAAAGTACGATAAGTAAAAAATAATTTCTGGTCTGTCATAAAATAGAAAATAGTAACTAAACTGTCTTGATAGAGACTTAAACTGCCAATTTCTTCCCAAATATGTTGTTAAAATCCATGTTACAATGTTTCTAATCTCACAATCTAATTAAAATTAGATGTTCCGAATCCGCTACCGCTTCTCAAACATCTAACAACATCCCATTCGGGGTCACATCAGAGCGACCTTTCGATTACCCAATGAAATCGCCGTCTCTGAAATCTTGGCTTATAGTTTGGATCTGTTCGTTTGTTTACTGCCAAACCTAAACGCCCGAGGGGTTTCGTAGAAAACAAAATATGCATGGTAAAGACCGTGCTAAATATGAATGTGACGTGCGGGATATATAGACGTATACATGTAGTTTGTGCATTTTCGTTTGCATTATTTAGGTTAGATAGAACGTTCTATCGTTAAAATGATATTGTCCTACGGACCCGGTTTAACGATAGAATCCGTTCCCTGTATTGGCAATGTTGCAAAATAAACACGGGCGATAACTCGTGCTCAGTGCATTTCCTATGAACAACCCAGAGAGTTCCGAATGTCAACATGGCGTTAAATTTGAAGCGAGGAAAAAACGTTGAGAAAATGAGTTGAATTTTCGTATTTATATGGATTATTTTTTTTGGTTAAAAGACATATACCGTCTCAAAACGGTTTGTTATGATTAATTTGGTAGTTATTTTCAGTGCAACTCCTTTTGTATTCTTCAAAATCATTTCGGAGTGGACTCACTCCGATTTGCTACATTGCAAGTATATGGGACGTATTCTAACTGTGGTGTGGGCTTGTCCCAAGACACAGTTAGATTATTCTAACTATATTTAGGTAAGAATACCAGATTGGTGGACTATATGTTCAATTTATATCAAAATTACTTTAATTCAACGTAAGATAGTCTACTGAGCATCAATAATGTTGGAACACTTCTAGTATACCGGTCCCTGTAAATATGGCGCTAAAATAGGTGCCGCCGAAGGCGGTGTACAATAGAATTCAATCGCAAAATCGATAAAAAGGCCACAAATTGCAAAATTGAGCCAAAAATCGTGTTCCTTGTGAAAAATTGGGTTTAAAAAACTGTGTTTTAAACACAGTTTTTTAAATGAGAATTAAAAGGTTTCGTAAAATAACGTGCTTGTTTAGTAGATAAAACTCCATTTTGCGTTGTTTAGGAATGTGGTCACATGATCAGTTTTTGACGTAATCTTATAAATATTCATGACGTGCGTCACTTGTGCTTTGACGTAATGAAGACTGATGAAGAAGTAGCTGATAGGACTCAAAGTGAAATGCTACTAAAATTGCAAGATTTTTGTGAGAAATGCAGGGATTTAACAAGTGATAACTAATTACTAGTAATTGGATGATTGAATTGTGCATCACCATTGATTTGAAAGAAAAAATATTCTGAATATGGTCATTAGGAGGTTAGGATGTCGAGCTTTTAAAAGTAAACGGTAAGTCGCTTTTACCAATTACTTGCCAAAACTTAGCGCACAATATCGTGCATGTTTCAACATTATACCAAAGCTAATTTATCCAAGTTTTGCAAGACTTTCCTGTTCTTCCGGTTCTTTAAATTGTAAGCAAAAATTGCATGAATAAGCCCAGTGATATAGATTCTAGCATGGGTGAATATCCGAGTTATATATATACTCTAACCCTAATCCGTAGATCGCATACAATGCACCCATATTTAATTTACGGTTTGTTTAAGTTTTGCATGTTTCATGCTTTACTCCTATAAGATGGTATATCGGCACGGTTCGACATAAGGCTGATTCATGCAAGTTTTTGGTCACAAAAGGCACTTGGCAGTGCCTTTTGTAAGCAAAAATTACATGAATTAGCCCAAAGTCAGGAAGATTTAAGAGTGGATTTATAAAACAGTTCCAATCTTAAAACAATATACCCTAACCCTAATCACTCGATCGAATGCGTTTTGTTGAAGCGAGGGGGAAATGGCGGTTTGTTTACATTCTGCATAGCAACGGCAAGGGAAATAACTGCTCATGCGCAATCGCGTGATTTTGGGGACCGGCATATTAGAAACTTCCCATAATGTTAAGATGTAGCCGTGGAACTAATTTTAGAATCATATACGGAAGGTTGAATCTGATTGGCCAAATTTTTATGTTTATTCATAATCGAAAGGTCGCTCTGACGTGACCCCAAATGAAGATGTTTGAGAAGCGGTAGCGGATTCGGAACATCTAATTTTAATTAGATTGCTAATCTCACAACTGCTAAGCTTTGATGTCTCAACTGCTCAAATATGATGTCACAGCTTATGACATTGTGTTAAGAAAAGACAGAGGCAAAGGGAAATCAATGAAAATTTAATAAACAGAAAATTCATTGTTTTGTAGTTGGATATGGAATTTGCACATCTTTGTTCATTTAAAACATTTTGACTTCTTCTTACATGTACTGGAATGGATGGATCAGTTTTCCATTATACTTAACTTGAAATGACTTTCGAAACTTTGAGGTAAAGATATTAAGCTTCATTTAATAACAATTTTGTTAAAATACAAGGATTTTATTTTTCATTTAGTGAAGTACCCTCAATTGCACCATTTAATTGATTTCTGGTGATAATACTGTAAAATTTGTACTGTATTGGATAAAGTTGAATGGAAATCAAACTTCTATACATACAGGTATTTATTCTAAAAATGGAACATTACTATATTTGCTTTAAAAGTCAATTTGTATAAATACAGAATGCAACGATCACATTAGCACAATTTTTCTGTGTAATAGTACATCATATTACAATACATGTAATTTAACAATAATTCAGCTTGTGCATGAGCATTGGTAAATTCCACAAATGTAAAAGGAAAAAAAAGCTGAAACTAGTCAAAGAGTTTATTATTGAATCCTCTTATGCTTGTAGTTCTGAAATTCAAGGCAGCCTCATCATAAAAAAGATAAGCTGTTTAAAGAGCTGGTGAATTATATCAGTATGAGGATTTTCTTAAAATTGATAAACCAGCTAGCTGTGGATGTAGAAAAGGAAACTTTCATCAAGAGCTTAAAAGTTGCAGTTCAAGAGAGTTTGGGCAGTATGTGACTCTTATTTGAAGGACTTTGACCAATTATATTGGAAAGAGTCATAGAAGGCCAAACAATGACTTCTAGCTCATTGAAAAAAACAAAACAAAACAAAACAAACACATTTGGACCTTTATGATGCATTTAGGCCAAAATAATTAATCTTTAGTTTCTCAGGGTTTTTTTCCCTTAAGTGTAATCTCTTTTTTTTCTTGTCAGTCAATAAAATGGTAATATCAACTGATTCTTAACTTTTGTATACATTTTCATCTTATAAAAATAGAACATTGAGTTATTCTCCTTTTCAAAACATGAATAAGATTGATTGCAGAAGTGTTTGACTTGATGCAGCAGTGCTTGAGAAACAATAGATCATTTTTTTTGGCCTTATTACTTTTTACTTTCATGTCAGAGCATTGTTTACTTCAACAAATAATAATGTTATGCAGATGTGCATCAATAAGATTTGATAGCAATTTTGTAATAATCATCAATAAAATTGATTAAATTTAGCATCTTAGTTGCAAATTTTTGTTCATTTAAACCATTTTGACTTCTTCTAAGGTACTGGAATGAATGGACCAGTTTGCAGAAAAATAGAAGTAAAAACGGTTAATAAAACAAACATATAATTAAAGATATCTATAATTTGGGGTCAAACTAAACTAATTTGGGATAAAAAAAAAAACCAACCCTCCTTTATTTCTAAGTGGAAGCGAAAACAGCATTTTTTTTCTCTTTGGCCTCATTCACAATTGATTAAGGAATTAAATTAGAGAGTGAGTTTACATGATCAATAAGTACTGGTCCCAGGTGACAAAGCAGGTACATTTAACATTATAGGCTTTTCATTACGTAATACATATGTACAATTGCCTTTTAGAGGAACCTGGATTTATATAATTTTACTAAGGGGTAATGCAACTTATACTAAAAATTTCATTTCTAAGGATGAAATTCTTCAAAAAATATGTAAAGTTTTAAATATGTTTATTTTTTAAAATACCCAACAACCAAATTGAATCCGAATTACCTTACCTATATCGGATTCCAAAGCTTCATAAAAATCCTTAAAAACAAAGATACATAGCAGGTTCTAGTAAATGATTAAACAAGCTCCAAAATATCATGTATTAACAGCTGTGAAGAAGATACTCCAGAAATACTGAACAACAGCACATTAGAAGTGGTTTTAATCAGATGTGGATACTTAAAATATGGAACTTTCAGAAAATCTGAGATCACAAAATTTTACCAAAATCAAGAGCATTAAAATGTACAACTTTTCAATGCTTTATACAGTGCAGGGAACTAATTTTGTTACATAAACCAGCATCAGCATAAGCATTAGTAGCATCAGGATCGAGCTAGCATCAGCATCAGCATTTAAAAAACAGCATTACCAGGATCAGCATCAGCAAGCAAAGGATAAAACAAGCATTGACCTACATAAAATCAGCATTATCCTACTAGCATCAGAAAATCAATGAGTTTTAATTCAGTAAAAAATTAAAAAAGAAAGAAAGAATATTGGTTAAAGTATTCACATTATTAATACACAATGAGTTATTATGATCAAATAATTGTAAAAGGTACTTTTATTGCTTTAAACGGCAATGCTGAAATTCATTATCTACTTCCGGTAGCATGATGCTACTTCCGGTAGCATTGACCTAATTATAAAACAGCATCAGGATAAGGATAACTAGCATTAAATCAGCAAGCAAAGGAAGCATTCAAATCAGCAAGCAAAGGAAGCATTCAAATCAGCATTGATGCTGTAACAAAATTAGTTTCCTGCACTGTATACAACCCTTCCTCACGATAAACTAAAGACTTGTAGACTCTTTGACATCAGAGAAATCTGTTTCTTCAATAAAATGAAACATGTAAATTTACATAACTTGTAATTGATCATCTGGGAACTTAATTTGTTAAAAAAACATTCAGGTTCTACACCCAAGTACTCTGAAGTTGATGTTAAAAAGATACTTGTGTTTCTCATTGACAATATCTATGTTAGCTTTGGAGACATAGTCTTTCAACAATCTGTTTGAATTGTCATGGATACTGATTGTGCCATGTTATCATCAAACCTGCTTTTGTATCCTTGGCCCAAAGGCTTTCAATATCAAAACTTAACAAGAGGGAGATAATAAGGGAAATGAAAGCAAAAGTAGTGGTTGTTAAAAAAAATCTTTTTCTCAAGAACCATTGGGCAGTTTATCACCAAACTTATGCATAAGGATGAGAATATGTTTTAGATTAAAAATTGTTCAATTCATCACCAAGGGTGAGGTCTCAAGGTCACTTTAAATTTGACCTAAAATCATGTTTTGTGAAAACTGAGATATTTTGTCCACTAAAAAGATTAAGGACATCAAATCTTTTCTATTGATGCATCTCAAAACATCATGTTATGTTGACTCAAAAGAAGGTCACATTGACATACTTTTTAGCTCATCTTAATAAATTTGTGGGGAGCATATGTAATATGGTTTTGGAGCAGGTTAAAGTTTTTGAAGCAGGTCTCATTTCCAAGTAACTATAACCCTATATTGACAAAACATGGATGATACGCTCTAAGGATGCACACTACCAGGCTAGCTTTGGTTGCTGATATGCTGATACGTATTGATGAAAGCTATTGAACTGCATCAACAATTTTTTTTACCTTGACCTTTCCTTTGACCTTGACTTCACTTTTAAAAAGATTGTGTTTAGCTCAGTTTCAAAGAAACTCTTCAAGATATTTTTATCAAACTTCATATGCAAATACACATTGATGAGGGCTATTCAACTGCATCAACAATTTTTTGACCTTAACCTTTCTTTTAAACTTCCATGGCCCCATTTTTAGCTCTTCTGAGCTAAAAACTCAAAAGAGCTAATGCTATGGCCATTTGTGCGTAAACTTTTTAGAATTTGGGCCATATCTCAAGAACACCTTGGCTAATTTTTGTCATATCCTTGGCCCAAGGGCTCTCATTTATACTAAAACTACAGATGTGACTGTAAACAAGGGGAGATAATTTGGAAAATAAAAACAAAAGTACTGGTTGCTAAAAATCTTCTCAAGAACCACTGGGCAGATTATCACCAAACTTACACATAAGGATGAGGATATGTTCTAGATTAAAAATTATTCAAGCAATCACCCCGAGGCAAAGGGCGTGGTCTAAAGGTCACTTCAAAGTTGACCAAAAATTACATTTTGTTAAAACTTTGATATTTTGCTTACTATAAGGGCTAGGATCATCAAATCTTGTTGATGCATCTTTGGACTCCATATCATGTTGACTCAAAAGTAGGTCACAGTGACCTACTTTTTGAAATTTGCAGGCATTCATTTTCAAATTGATTAAAAGGCATATTTTGGATACTTTTAGGCCTATGATCATCAAACTTTATCTGTTGATGCATCTTGGGTCCTCAGAGTACGTCAATTGAAAAGTAGTCATAGTGACCTACTTTTTGGATTTTATGGCTAATCTTTTTCAAAAGATTTAAGGTCATTTTTTCAGATACTGAGAGGTTTAGAATCATCAAACTTTGTAAGTTGATGCATGTTGGGGCCTTGAAACATATTTATCAAAAAGTAGGTCACTGTGACCTACTTTTTGAATTTTATGGCTAATTTTTTTCAATTTTTTTAAGAGGCATTTTTTGGACACTTTAAGGCCTGTGATCATCAAACTCTGTCATCTTTTTTTTGCATCATGGGTCCTCGGAGAACGTCAAATGAAAAGTAGGTCATGGTGACCTACTTTTGAAATTTTATGGTTATATTTATATATTTCAGGTACTAATTGGCTTGGCATCATCAAACTTTGTCATTTGATGCATATTGGGTCCTCATAGTACGTCAATTGAAAAGTAGGTCACCCTGACCTACTTTTGAATTTCTATGGCTATATTTAACTATTTTCAAGTACTTATCAGCCTAGAGTCATCAAACTTTGTCAGTTGATGAATCTTGGACCTCAGAGTACCTCAGCTAAAAAGTAGGTCACTGTGACCTACTTTTGATATGTTATGGCTATAATTAAATATTGAGACTACTAAATGGCTTAGAATCATCAAAACTTTGTCAGTTGATGCATCTCGAGTCCTCAAAGCATGTCAACTGAAAAGTAGGTCACCATGACCTACTTTGTAATTTTATGGCTATATTTAAATATTTTCTGGTACTAATTGGCTTGGAATCATCAAACTTTGTCAGTTGATGCATATTGGGTTCTCTGAATATGTCAAATAAAAAGTAGGTCACTGTGACCTACTTTTTGGAATTTCATGATAATATTTTAATATTTCAGATACCAATTGGCTTAGAATCATTAAATTTTGTCAGTCAATGCATCTTGGATCTTCAGAGTATGTCAACTGAAAAGTAGGTCACCATGAACTACTTCTGAAATTTTACAGCTATATCTAAATCTTATGTGATATTGATTGGATTTAAATCATTAAACTTTTTCAGTTGATGTGTTTTGAGTCCTCAAAATATGACAACTAAAAAGTAGGTCACAGTGACTTACTTTCTGAATTTCAAGACAATATATTTCAAATACTGTGGAATCATCATTGTTCGTGGGGGACCAATGTTCGTGGATTTCGTGGGTTACCCTTACCCACGAATTTACATCCCCACGAACGTTTATTTTGTAAACATATTGATTAATTGAATCTACCGTATAAACGAGTAACCCACGAAATTACGTCCCCTCGAACAAGTAAAATTTTGCTTGTCCACGAACATTAACCCCACGAATTAAAATGATTCCACAGTAAAAAGAGTCTTAAGATCATCAAACTTTGTGAGTTGAGGCATTTTGGGTTCTCTGAGTATGTTTTCCAGAAAGAAGGTCACTGTTATCTACTTTTGGAATCTCATGGCTATATCTGAAATTTTAAGATATTAAGAGACTTTGAATCATCAACATTTGTCAGTTGATTCATCTTGGGTTCTAGGAGTGTTTTAACCAAAATGTAGATCATGATGGCCTACTTTTGGAATTTTAAGGCTTTATCTAAATACCAGTATACAGGATACTTAGAGGCTTCAAATAGAAGTGAAAGGTTGTACAATTTATCAGAAGAGGAATTCAAGGCCTTTGGGCCTCTTGTTTTTTTTAAAAAGTTATGTTTAGCTCCATTTCAAGAAATTTTTTATGACTTTTAACTATACTGGTCAGAGACTAGAAGAGTTTATGCAATAGTAAGGTGTCAATCCATCTTTGTCCTTCTGTCTGTCTAGCTGTCCATCTGTCTATAAACAATTTTTCAAAATGCTACTCCTCCTACAGTTTTGGTATTATTACTTGACACACAAGTAGACTACACTAACATACATAATTTAGTGCATCGGTTTTTGATTTTGATAGATGGTGTTGCTAAAAATAGAAATTTTTATGAAATTCCTTTAAAATACTACTCCTCCTACAGTTTTAGTCTGATTTTAATATTACTTGCCACATAATTAGACTACACTAAGATACATAAATAAGTGCTT